GAGTCTCTCAAGGCTACCCAGGGAAGGGAATTAGCACTTTGGGAGTGGTGGCAGCAGACCAGATCTAAGCTGGTAGTTAAGCTTAGAAGTTTTCATGCAGGCCCCCACATTTGTACCCTAAAGTTCAGAGTGGGGAAGGAGCCTTGACACTCCCACAGGGAGGTCCTAGCAGATCACAGTCTTTAGTCAGCTCCTGGCTCTACTCAGGCTTCTCACACAACAAGGGAGCTGCCAGTCTATTCTCCTTTCAAGTCCATTCACAAATGAGCTCTCTCCTTTGTTTAAGTGCCCCCCTCCAAGACTGAAAGCTCTGCAGGAGAAGGGGGTGGAGCTGTTTGAGCCCACATCATCCTATTAACCTTGGCCAGTGTGGTGTTTGTATACCTCATCACACACCTCAATATGATGAATGGGGGCTGTTCAGACATCTCTGAGCTATTGATTCAGTCTGTTAGCAGACTCAGGAACACATCACTGCATTGGTTACACTCAGTTGACATTTGGAAGGTTTCTTTCACAACCATTAGGGGTAGAAAGATTTGATTCTGGAGCAATATTATAAAGCTAATCATAGAATCAGAAATGTGGGACTGGAAGAGACCTTGATAAATCATCTAGTCCAGTCACCTGCACTGAGTCAGGACTAAGTGTTATCTAAACCATCCCTGACAGGTGTTTGCCAAAGATGTAAATAAAAACCTCCAACAATGGAGATTCCACAGTCTCCCTAGGTGATTTGTTCCAGTGCTTAACTACTTTTACAGTTAGGAAATTTATCCTAATGTCTAACCTAAATCTCCTTTGCTGCAATTTGACCCTAATACGTCCTGTTTTGTCCTCAGTGGATAAAGAGAACAATTTATCACCCTCCTCTTTATAACAACCTTTTACATACTTGAAGACTGTTACCATGTCCCCCGTCAGTATTTTCTTCTCTAAACAAACCCATTTTTTTTCAATCTTTCCCAATAGATCATGTTCTCTCGACCTTTAATAATTTTTGTTGCTCTCCTCTGGACTGTCTCCACTTTGTCCACATCTCTCCTGAAGTGCGCTGCCCAGTACTGGACACAGTACTTCAGTTGAGGCCTGATCAGTGCTGAGTAGAATGGAAGAATTACTTCTAGTTAGGGCCGGCTTCAGCTTTTTTGCTAACCCAAGGGGCAAAAAGAAAAGAAAAGAAAAAAAAAAAGAACGATTGAGCTACCGCTTAAGAGCCGCCGAAGAGAAAGACAGGGAGTGAAGGACCCGCCGCCGAATTGCCGCCAAAAACTGAAGTGGACCGATTGAGCTGCTGCCGAAGTGCCGCTGCCGCCGCCCCAGACCTGCCGCCCCAACAACGGACGGACTGCCGTCCCTTTCTATTGGCCGCCCCAGGCACCTGCTTCCTTCGCTGGTGCCTGGAGCCGGCCCTGCTTCTAGTGTCTTTCTTACAACACTCCTGCTAATATGTCCCAGGATCATTAACATTTTTTGCAACAGTATTACACTGTTGACTCACATTTAGTTTCTGATCCACTGAAGTGGACTCTGTGGCAAATACTGCAAAATCACTAAGAACACACAGACCTGATCACAGTGCACTATGAATTTCTTATAATTATTATTGACAGCTTACCTCATTGCCAACTATTGGTCTAATCTTGTGAATTCCAGGAACTGGACAATTCAGTGTTGCTGTAGGTGAACTACAGTAATTAAAAAAAACAAACAGTCAGGTATTTAATATTAATTAACACTACACATATGTACTTCTGACTGGTCCACTCAGTCTTAACTTTTACTTAGGATCTAATTTCTCCCCAACCTTCATCTTTCAAACTGAGCAAACCTTCCTCTTCCTTATTCCCCAACCATTTTTTTAATATAATATCATTAGATTGCCCGTTCAGTTCAAAAAAGACGGTTACTCACCGTTGTAACTGTTGTTCTTCGAGATGTGTTGCTCATGTCCATTCCATTAGGTGTGTGCGCGCCGCGTGCACGATCGTCGGAAGATTTTTACCCTAGCAACACCGGCGGGGGGGCGGGGGGGGGCCCCCCCGGGGGGGCCCCC